ATTATCATAATAGCCAAACCATTTACTCTACCACCGGAAAATAGTGCGGTATTCCAGCTGGAATTTCACTTGCCTGCTCCCAGCCTGCCAGATCCGTTGTAAATTACTGTAGGCGTCTGTGAGTTATTTTATAGAAAGCATCCACCTATTTTTACTACTCTGAAAAGTCTGTCACTCCCATTCATCTCCCTGGGAATAAAGCAATAATTTGATTCTTTATAATTGTGAACCTGAATTTACACCATCCTCTCCAGTTGGAACCATAGTGATGTGGGTGATTTATAGCTGTTTCTGGGGTAGGGTTCTAGAAGGTGGCATCCTGGCCTGGTATGTTTGTTGCCATTTTCCATTATTTCCACGGGAATGGGAGTAGGAATCAACCTGCTGCTATTCTATTTGGGTTGAAACTGCTTTGTTTTCTGTAGTATGTAGCCCTGTTGAATATTATGCCACAAAGAATAGCCCGAGTATCCCAAACTGCTCTGTTCAGCCCTGGATCCAGAAGCTGGGTAGATGTCTGCAAACATAGCATGGACCCTGGAATGTGCTCTGCCTTTAGGAACGGCCCCTGCCGAATTTCTGGGATCCCAGCTGGAAAGTAGCCAGATGGCTGGGGGCCTCTTAGACCCTTGCTGTCTTATGCATAACCCACAGCAGGTCTAGGTTATCCCTCTTGGCATCCCAATCTTTGGCCCATTGGAGAAGAACTTGTCTGGGAAATATAGGCATGTTTTATCTCCCCCTATGTTGCTAAGATGTCAAGGTGGGAGATATCCTTCTGCAGCTGTCTGGGATCCCATGGGACCAAAACAATTTGGGCCCAGAAATCTGGATGCTTCCAGGGCCAGGGAGATGGGCAATGTGAAGAGGGCCTGAATGATCACTAAAACAGGAAGTAAAGGGCATGAGCAGGAATCGAGGCTGCAGTAGGTTGCCAAGGAATTGGAGAGCCAAGAAGATCCAAGAGACAAATGATGGGCTCAGCAAGCAATGAGGAGAGACATCCTGGGGGGGTACCTGGAACAGGCCAGATCCCGTACCCAGGGATGGCTTTCCCACCCATTGTGCCTCATGATGCTTGTGTGGGCTGGCTGCTGTCAAAGGCCCTCAAAATAGAACAACCTATCATTGGTTTCAGTCCCCATTGAGGAATCTGGATTCAAGTGCAGAAGTGTGTCTGACATCTCTGTCATGTTCTGAATCTGCAAGGTTTGTCCTAGGGGCTCTACCTAGTTGGAACCATTCGTCCTTGAAGGTCCTAGCTCAGTAAGAAAATTCTTTTTCTATGCTAATGGCCTTTCTTATTGTGGAAGCTCTTATTCAAACCAGTATGTTTTGGGAAAAGAAGTCTAAGTGAAGTATGGTGGATGGATTTGCCAGTTGTGACCCTCAGCTTTGAAGCTACTGTCCATACACATGCAAAATGCCATGTCTGGGGACTTCTTCCAGTTGACAGCCACTTGTAGCCACTGTCTGCTTCATGGAGCATGAAATGGCACCCTGTTGGGCTACTTTGTAATTGATTCACTCCCCATTTGAAAATCTAAAATGAAAATATATTGTGCACTTGACAACTTCATAAATTTTAAAGTGCTCAAGCTATGAAATACAACTATGTGTTTCTTCTATGTGACAGAAATGGAAAGAATTAGAGCCTACATATTTTTGAAACTTGCATTTGAGACTCTCTTTAACCTTTTTGAGACCAATTCCACTCCTCCTATAAGTACAATCATGCAGGAAATTAAAAAGGTCCATTCTATTGTTGCAAAAGAGACCAAAAGAATATACAGATTGCAGTGAAAAGCTATCATTTTCTGTTTTATGTTTTTGTCCCCACTGACACTCACAGCAAGTTCTCTTTTTCTTCTTACCCAGAAAATCAGCCCGTTCTTTGGGCTTAGAATGGTTACGAGGAACTTGGGGCTCTTTTATGGAAAGTTATCAGAGGAAAATTATCCCAGAGGCATGGCAGGGGTCTGGGACAATTTACAGTGGCACACCTAAGTCTAAGAGCATGTGGTCCCTGTGGGGCTTACTCTGGGGGGTGGGGGAGTGTGCTCTCAAGATGCTTAGGCTACTTAAAGAACCAGCAGCTAAGACAGTCCAGTAAATCTAAGATAGGAAGAAGTCCCAGTTCAGGCAGGAAAGTGGGAGGCACTTGGGGACCAGATGATAAAAATGTTTGACATGTTTGTGGGAATTGGTTGATGTTCCAGCCCTAGTTCCATAACAAAGTGGTATATCTGAATTGCTATCATTAGCAATCTTGTGCTTTGGGGCCATTATTCAGTAAAATAAGGGATCTTGAACATAAGCATTGCTATGGTCCCATGGTAGTCAATCTGAGAACCAAGATGACTACTAAGTGACCAATGGGCACAGGGCATCTACAGCATGACAACACTGGACAAAGGGATGATTCATATTCAGGCAGGATGGAATAGGATGTCACTAGATTTCATCATGTTACTCAGGACAGCATGCAATTTAAAATTTATGAATTGTTTATTTCTGGAATTTTCTACTGAATATTTTTGGACTGCAGTTGACCATGGGTAAATGAAACCACTGATAGTGAAACCATGAATAAGGGGGTCTACTGTAGTCACAATTCAATAGGAGGAACATAGACTCCACTTCCTGACAGGCAGAATGTCAGAGTCTCACATTAAAAGGACGAGATAGTTGTGGCAATTTTGGGACAGTACAGCTTGCACATTGGAGAATGCACCCCACCCCCAGCTGGGTGGATTAGATATCCATCAAAGGAAGGCGGGGGTGAAACAGCCTGTTCTCCCTCCTTTCTCCTTTCAACTCTGCCATCTTCTTTATGGGCTGTCTGTGCTGCTATATGCAGTCCTCATATACTCAGTCTGGTCTCCCCCAAGGAGGAATTAAATTCCATTTAGTAAACATTTTCTGAGTCCTGAGTGCAAGAAAGTGATCGAAAGACTGTGTCAGGCCCTGTGTTGGCAGGCAGATGAAGTTGCTGGCCTACAGGAGGTACAGCAATGGAGGGCAATGGCAGACAAGCAGCTGACTGTAGGGCAAGACCAAGTGTGATCAGCACAGCAGGTGGAAGAAAGTGCTGGGGACCTTGGAGACCAAATGTGGTTCCCTGGAGGAAGTCCTGAGGGTAGGCTCCATTTTAGGGACCCCTGTGCCAGTAACACACGATGCCTGGCTTGGCAAGGAGGGACAGTGGGTCTTCTGACCCCCACTATTCTCTGTGCCCCTCCAAATCTTTATTATCCTTGTCTTGGTGATCATCTTTTCTCATGACCCCCCACACTCTACTGTAACAACACCAGGGCTTCATCTCTAACTCTGAGGGGACATGTAGTTCCTAATTCAGAAGGCAGGAACATCTCCCATTCTACAAAGGAACTGTCTCTCTCATAGTACTGGCTGACTCCTGAGAAGCAGCAAAGTGTGTCCATTACACATCATGGCCAACAGCTGGCTTTCTGGGTCAGCAGGCATACAGCTAATACGCAGTGGGGGTGTTGAGTTCACACCAGTGAAGATGCAGCAGAGGAATGTGTTTATAATTTCTCTAATTGCATTTGATGGTAGTTTTTTCTTTCCCATGTGACGTTGAGTTTGTTTGGAGCATTTTCCCCTTCTTTTTAATCTAGTGTAGATTTAAGATAAAAGGACCTAACAGGTACATCTATAGGAATGAGGCATCTCAACCAACATTCTAGAGATATTTTAGCATGGAATTAAAGGTGTAAAGAATCCTATAGCAGTGCCTAGAGTTCAGTCAGTTGACAAATACTTATTAAGCCCTGGACAGGTATCTCATTTGATGGGAGTGTCACCCTATACACCAAAATGTTGCAGGTTTGATTCCTGGTCAGGAAATGTACCTGGGTTGTGGGTTCGATCACCAGTCAGGGTGCAACTGTTTGATGTTTCTCTCTCATCTCTTTCACATTATGAAAAAACATATCCTCCAGTGAGGATTGGAAAAAATACTTATTAAGCATCTACTGTATGTTGGCATTCTGCAAGGCCTGGGTTATTCAGAGGTCTCTAACATTATAGAATTGACAGTCTGGTTGGGAGTTTGAATGTTAGGTAACTAAGCACACACAAATGAACAGTAATACATTGGAATAAGTGAGATGAAGAGAGAGTACTGAGTGCTAGAAAAAAGAACAGAAGGATTGGGTGTGAGCTGGGGACATCATGGTCAGGAAGAACCTTTTGAAGGAATGACATGGAAGCATGACATCAAGGGGGAAGGAAACAGCAGAGAACAGCCAGAGTGCCCCAGACAGAGAGCACGACAGATAATGCCTTGAGCTCCAGAGACAATGGATTTGGGGAGATCCTTAATATAATCTTCCCCTGGTGCCTCTGCAGGCTTGTTCCTCCCCAGTGGCTGCAGAGTGGGACTGGAGCAGGCTTGGCTGGGCAGCTACAAATGGATTCTTTCCAACTGGCCCATGCAAGGCTGGCCTTTGCCATATTCTTTCACACTTGCTAAGTAAATCAGTATGCTACCTGACCTGCCTCTTGGCTGATGTCAGCTGACTCTTTTCTTGTCCTAAGCTCATCATCTTTTAAAGAAAGAATTTTGTGGGCATCCAATTTTAAAAAAGAAATGCAGAGTGTTTTCCACTGAAGCCATATATCTACAAATAACACTATTTCATGCCATTTTGGGGGCAACTATTGCTCTATTCTCAGACTCAAAATTTTAGCTATTTTTATCTTCAATCTGTGCTGAAGAAATGTTTTAAGTTTCTGTCCATGGGGCCCATTGCTTGAGAGGCAGATCCCAGCCCCCAGCATGCACCCAAAACAGATTGACTCTCCTTTGCTGTATCTTTGATGTTTCAACTTTGAAAAAGTTGCTTTAATGTACAGTAATTGGAGCATTTCAAATTAGGAATGGCATTATGATAATTGACTCTGTGTGTTGCTCTCTCCAAGGTGGTTCTTGCACACAGATTAGGTAGCACTCCTGTCTCTGTCTCTCTTTGCAGCTGCTGAGGAGTCCAGAGTGCCTGCAGCCATGTTGCATGGGAAATGCCCACCAGGTTTGTTCAGGCTCCCTGATTTACTGTAGGGGTGTGTCAGGAGATCTACAGTAAATTGGTCTCACCCGTGAAAAGTTAATGGGGCAGTTGTCAGCCAGCCTGTGCTTAAAACACCACCTAACACCCCTCCTACCACTGAACTACCTGGACCACTGGAACTAGGCAGTGTTTTCAGCGACTTGCATTTTATAGTCTTGACCATAAGCCTGTACTGAGTCCTCCTTATTTAACTCTGAGAACTGCCCAGCCAACTAGTCTTATTATTACCATTGCATAGACAGGAAAGCTGAGTCTTAGAGCTTGCAAACACAAGACGTCTGACTCAGAGGCATAATGAACCACTGTGTGATATAGTCTTGTAATTTATTATACTGTATCTTTCATGCAGTGTCTCCTTGTGACTCTCATACAGGGATACTGGGTCTTCTTCTGCACAAAATTCCTCAGGTAATTGATCCCAGTGGTGGAGCCTATCCTGTCCTACTACCTCTCTTCCTCCCAGTCCTCTCTTCTGTAGGATAAACATACCTAGCTGCTCTAATCTCATGCTTCAAGTCTCCCTCCCACTGCCTAGACCTTCTCCTCTTTTGCTGCCCAGAAAAGAACAAGTCTTCATATATGACAAATAGCACGGTGGGGGGTAAGGGACATGTCCTATTTCTTATTCTAGAAGTTATGCTTAAAATTGAAGATCACATCACACTGTGGATACAGAGTGAATAAACTCATCTGTTTTCCCACAGAGGAATGTTCTTGGGAATTCCCTTCAAAACTAATCACTAAAGCTACATTGGAAAGACATGGCTCAGGGGTACTTAGAAAGCTGTCCCCATTTTTCACTCTCAGACTTGCCCTAGTCTTCAATATGATGTAGTTAAACTTAAGGAAGACTCGCTTTTGTGCTAGCATTCTGTGTATTCATTCTCTCACCCACTCATTATTCAATACCTACAGAGCAAATGAGAGCCTAATAGGTTTCATACAGAGCATTAGGTTTTGGGGTTATAAACCTGAAGAACTCATAGGTCCTGGGCCCAGAATCACTTCTGACTGTCCCTTAAAGACACACAGTAGTAATGGTGTTCCAGGGGAAGGGGAGAACATGCATGGAGGAAAGATAAATTCATTTAGCCTAAGGGAAACTTTCTAAGATCAAAGGTAGTAAGTTGGTATAAATCATATTGGAGCTTACCAAGTTTAAATGTTAATGGACTGCAACTAATGTGTATGTACACTCTTCCCTGTGTCATTCTGTGTGTTCCAAATCTGTCATCACTTGTGGCCAGGGTGCTCAGTTGTTGGCAGTGTTACCTTTTTGTGAAATTGTCCTTCTTCCTATCTTTTTCCACCTTAGGGATGCTTTATTCTTATTGATTTTTTATAGCATCTGATCTTATCTCACAGCAGTAATAGTACATCTCTACTTTCATAGAGGATCTAAAGGTTCTTACTTGTGGTATCCTGGTGGTCTGATTACAGTGTCTCAACTCTCAGGTGGCCTGATACCAACCCTTACCACCTGCTGCTCTTCCAGTATGTATATGGTCTTATGATTAGTGACTATTTCTTAAGAGATATTTGGTTTTGCTGAGTTTACTTCTGTCAGCTTTAGCCATTACTGTTCACTTTCATTCATACTCACACATATGCTCACATGTACACACATGCAAATCCCATTTTTATTTATCTTGCTCACAATCTTGAAGTATGGGTCTGTACAACAGGATTAGACAGACCGATACATTCAAGAAGGCATAAGCAGTATTAACAGAGTAAACAATGTATCTGAAAGAGGTGGGGCAGTGTGGGGGAAAGGCAAAGCTACACAAATTTTTGGTGGTCAGAAATAAATGACCTGTCTCCATGGAACTTTCTCTTCAACTGCATTTTTTTTCAATCTTCACCCAAAGGTATGTTTATTGATGTTAGAGAGAAAAGAAGAGAGATGGAGAGAGAAAGAGAGTGAGAGGACATCAATGTGGAGAGAAACATCAATTGGTTGCCTCCCATAGTGCCCCGGTCGGAGATCAAATCAGCAACCTAGGTAGGTGCCCTGACCAGGAATCAAAGCCTCAACCTTTTGGTTTATGGGACAGTGCTCTAACCATCTGGGCCACCTGGCCAGGGATCAACTGGATGGCTTATTAAAATACAAATTAATGTTATCCAAGATGGTACTAGGATGAGAAGCTCATTAAAATGTTTCTAATACTTCCTGAGAAATAAAAGCTTTATCATCAGTTCATTAATGTCAGGAAAGTATGTGAACAAACAGGAAAAAAAATAATCTGAAGCCTGTGAAAACATTTTGTAACACAAAAGAATAAAGTCATAAGAGCTTAAAGGTACACCTAAATTATTATGTACCCAAAAGCCACAGAAAAGTTTGGAAACAACTATTAAATATTCTCAGCAAGACAGAGGAGGGCTTTATATCTATAAATCATGAACAGTGTGGCACATAATAAGAAAGTGGGATCACAATGCTAAGAAACCATGTACTATTTTTTCTTGTTGTTGCACTGAAAAGTAAAATGAAAACTGAAGAAAATAAACAGATAAACAATAAATATTTCCAAAGGAATGTGAGAGAAGATGACTGACATAGTAATATAACACAAAGATATAATCTATGAATAATAGAAGTTCCCAAAGAAAAATAGAAAATAAGTCCCCAGATGGAAAGGGGATAAGAAGAATCTCTTTGTCTCTTGATTTTCACTCTTCCTTTGGTGATTTCTCAACAGAACAGACCAAATTTGAACCAAACCCTCTTCATTTTTTGTTGGTGGTTTGCACATTTAGGCACAATGACATTTTCTAAAGAACTGTATGAGTCAGGATTGGATAAGCTATGCTGCGATAATAAATTTATCCTGAACTTTCTTGCTTACCACAAAAAAGTTATATGTCACTTGTGTAAAGTTCAGTGTAACTTGGGTGACTTTTCAGACTAGCTCCTTTCCAAGTGGTAGTTCAGGGAACCAATCTACTTTCAACTTGCATAACATAGGCCAATCATAGTTCTGTTTGTCCAGGAAGTTCCTATTGTCCTGGCAAAATGATGACAAGTACCTTTCGCGTTCCTCAAAACATTCATGTGAGTAATCCTTTAGTCGTCTTACAGTTACACCACCTGGAACTGGCTTCCAGGTCACCATAGCAGGAAAGAGAAACTGGAAACTCATATACCACTTTCATTTTTAAACGCTTTGGCCCAGGTGCAATGCGTGTTATTTCCATTCACCATTAATTGGAGTCACAGGGCTTCATCTAATCACAGGGAGGCCAGGGCATGTGCATTGAGATTGAATCAGGGATATTAAATTTCAATCAAAAATCTCAGTAGGAAACAAATATCACTGTCACAATAACCTTAGTAAAAACCAAAACTAAAGAACAATCGTTACATAAATAAAAGCAGTATCAAAATAACAAAATTTTCAAGTACCATCATATAATTTTTAGCTCTTCTATAGTAACCACATTTGGGACCTGAACCTTGCCTGATTTCCTCCACTCCCTGCCCAGGTCCACACCACACAGCTCGTATTTTGACCCACCCATATAGTCACATGGATGTCCTTTATTCTCCTGATAAAAGCCAACAGAGGATGTTTACCTGTGTAACTCTTCTCCGAAACCTTCATGATGGCCTTGATGTCTACAGTGAAGGATGCACCTTATTCCACTTCCCTGATATTGGTTCACTTATTTTGAATCTTTTGGCTGGGCTTAGCTGTGGAGAATATGGATTCAGAATGAATGAGAATTTGAAGTATAGTGAGATACCAGTATGGTAGGTCGAAGCAGAATGAGTGGGGCCACAAATGTTCCTTTGTGAGTAGTGAGAGCTTGAAGAAGAGGGCAGAGGACCAACTGCTGTGGAGATGAAGAAGGATCCAGGTACAAAACATCAGGTGAATCAGAGATGCCACAAGAAAGTAGAAATGGCTAGTGCACCTTTCTTAACACATAACAAAATGAGAAAAATATAGAAAGAAATTATGTAGCAGTTATGAAGAATAGAATTAATTTGACTTAGTCACATTTAACAAATATTCATCAATTATATGAATGAATGATTGAGCACACATAATGAATAAAGGTATATATTTGAAGTTGAATGTCTTTCAGAAGAAGAACATAACTTCTTTTCAAATGTCCATGTATCAGGCACGAAAGTTGATTATGTCCTGACCTGCAAAATTTTCATGGATCTTAAAAACCAGAAATTTTACAGATTTTATTCTCTGATCACAATGTAATTAATCCAAAATTAATAATGTAGGGTTGAATAAAAAGACCCCCTTAGCAAAAGACAACTTGGACATTTAAAGATGTTTTCTTGGTGCTAGAACACCAAGAAAATCCCAACAAGCTACTAAAAAATAATATAAAAGCAAACAGCACTATTAGACCCAAGGTATGTTGACAAAGTAAAGTTCAAAGATAAATTAACATCTTTCACTGAATTCATTGGAAAGTGGGACACAGGGTTAGAGGCTGTGTAGCCACCAGCCAAGGGAATTACATGCAGAGATGAGGGAATCATGAATATTCAATCTCAGTCAAAAATTCCCTTGGCTGGTGGCTACACAGCCTCTAACCCTGTGTCCCACTTCTGTGTTTTGTTCCACATGCAGTTCATCCAGGAATTCCTCTGGGCATCCTCAGATTGTCTGTGCCCATTGCCTACCCCCATTTAGAACATTATTTCTATTCTCATGGGATTTGTCAGCAGTCTCCCATTTCTAAATCAGAAACTTTTGCGGTGTCCCTACTGCTGTCAGATCGAAATCTGTCCTCTGTGGGTGGGCACTTAAGGTCCTCAGTCCAATGTACTTGATTTCAAGATCCAGCTCAAGGGCCAGCTGACCTCTACTTACAAGTAATTATTCATTCCTGCTCAACACTCCCCGCTTGCTCATAGTTGTGACACTATTATATTGTAGACAAAAACACATCTGTTGACTTGTTTTTCTCCTCAGTAGCTTATG